CCCCAAAACCCCAAAACCCCAAAACCCCAAAACCCCTAACAGTTTTTCTTATTTTGAAATAAGCCCAAATAATATTATTTTGGTAAGTTAAAATGTCAAAGTTAAGCCTGGAGATCTCCAAAAGTAAGGATTTCCTTCCAAACTATAGAGCGAGGAGCCGCCTACAAGGACTATCCCTCAAGGAATAAACATTTAGAGAAAAAGCTGACTGAACTTTCAGATAATTCTTATCTATCCCAAGCAATCGAGCAAACCTGAGATAGCAAAATTAGAGCTCTATCTGAAGATTATTGAGAAGGCAGGAAGAAGCTTAATGACAAAAACCTTGTGCCTAACATTGACCCATATATTGAAAAATAGCTCTAAATTCTTACAAAAATCGGAAACCAACGAGAAATTAAAATTTATTCAGAAGAACTTAAGCAATTTACGCAAGACAGGAGAAAGCAGAGAGGAATATGAGAGTTCTCTCAATTTGCTACTCCAGAGCCAGAACAATACACATGGAAGGAATGCAGCCAATACTTATGAAGAGCGAGTCAAACTCTTTGAAACAGACATTGAAGAGAAAAATAAAAAAGCAGAAGACTTCGTAAAGAAAATGTAATAACCTAACATATATTCATAAAATGTTTTATTCTGATTAGACCTTCATAAATTCATACTTTTGTAGGAAGGAAGAAAGGCACAAGAGAGACCAAAAGCGTCGAAATGAGCAAAAGAAGCTGCTCAGTAAGGTTCTTAAAGGTCAGGAGCATTTTAAAGATATCCATAAGACCAAGGAAAATGAAAAATCCCTTGAAAAAGCTAAGCAATTAAAGGACATCCAGAAGAGAAGGGAAATGAAATAAGTCTGAAAGAATCCTTAAAATGAAAGAGTGGAAGAAGAAGGAAAAGGAGTTACAGAAGAAGCAATATAGTTACATCCTAAGTGAACAGAAATATGAAAAGGACATCGTTCTTCCAGAACTCGAGAAGGTATTCACTAAGCATCTCAAGATATAGTATAAGGAAGAAGTCAGGAAAAAGAAGGAATATTGTAAGCCGATTGACCCAACAGTAAGTAGTCCATCACTATATTGTAGGAGATCAAGCAGCATGAAAAGAAGTATATGGACCTCTTAAAATCTCTTAATGATGAAAAGAAGACAAAAAGAAAGCAGTGGTACAAACAAATCGGGTATGGAGAGTACGACGAAAATAAATTCAAGAACAAACTTCAGCTAAAATTCCAGGAATATGAGAAAGAGAAAATCTTAAAAGAGGAGAAAGAAAAGCAAGAGAAGATGGAAAAATAGACTCAAGGCAGAGAAATATGCTAAGTTTGTTAAGGAAATGCATTGGCCAAAAGTATCCCTCATGAAGAAGAAAGAAATGGACAATCTAAAGGAAATTACCGATAATAAAAGGTCTCTAGAAATCAGACAATCACTAAATACCTCTTCAAATTCACATCTGATTAGAGGAAAGTTGTCTTCAAATCGTAGTGAAAGGAATCATTTTAACCAAAAGACAGATTATTTGTCCATATCAAACCCTACTCTGTCTAATCTCAAGAAGAAAGCTAGAGACTCAAAGAGTAGTTATTCTATCATCAAAGCCCCTAAGAGGAAATGGAAGGAAAACAACATGATACCGAAACCACCTCCAAAAAGGGAACCCCAAGTTGTAGATTACTTGTTGAAGCAAAGACAAAAGAGGGAGAAGTCATCTGAGGCTGGCCGCTATCGTAAGATTAGGACCCCATACCTAGACATAAAGGATAGCTCAACTGGTAGAAATGATAAACAGAGAGGATTCTTCAACAATAGCTCCTTTGACAGCTATGGCTTGTCCAAAGGAAATCTAACTATAGATAAAGGGGAAGAAAAAGCAGAACAATTTGAGAAAATTGGACAGATTAGAGAAAAAGCAAGGATGATTGAAAGAGATGCTAGCAGGAAAGAGCAGCTGCTCAAATTTCAAGATGGCTCCATTACTGAGAATGTGGATGTGAACGATTTGTACATTGACGCCATCACAGCTAAATTACAGATTCTAGACAATTTGTAGCGATTTATTATCTACAATCAATAATTATTTGAATAATTGGGGTTTTGGGGTTTTGGGGTTTTGGGGTTTTGGGG